AGACTTAGGCTTAGACTTAGACTTCCTTTATTGTCATTGCACAAAAACACGAGGTGAATTTGACAATGAAATGTCAATTACTTGGCTACTAGTGTAATAGAGCTAAGACCTTATTTCTGCACAATAAATATGTATTGTATTGTATGCTATAACTAAGCGCTAAGAGCTAGCTATATACATGGTAAAGAATTATATTAATTATATTTATTAGATTTATACATATATATTATATATATATATTGCACTGACTTTTTTTCAACAAAACATAAATAAATATGTGTGTGTGTGTGTGGGGGGGGTGGAGTGTTATATTATTAATCAAAACATTTAGTTTTGTGACTTCCAGATGAATCATCAGTCGGCATGTTGTAGGTTTCATTTCCTGCCTCCACACCTTTCATAGATAACTCAGGAAAACCTGGGAAATTCTTGGGAAAACTTCCTAGAGACTTCCTTTATCTTCTTCTTTTTTTTTTTGCAACCAATCAAGATGGTAAAAAGTGACCGTATTCACTTGTCTGTCCAGATAAACGGATAGAAATACACTTCTAAACTTAGACTAACTAACCGTTTGAGCCTTTTCTGGCTCATTCCTGATTGGTCAGATCCTGTGACATCACCTGAATATGTGAAGTATTCTGACTCCTGCTGACTGGCTTTATTCTTTCATCATGTGATGTTTTGTTTGGGGGGGGTTCCATCTTTAAACCACGCACAAGGGATAAAAAATAATCACTTTCCATCAAAAGGGCTTAAGACTAATCCAAATGGTCTCTAACTTTACGTTTCTGCCTTGTTGTTCAGAGTAGAAGTGAGTTTACAGCAGTGGTGGGCCGTCAGGGCCTGCAAGGCCTTCTCTGAAGGCCTAAGAAAATATCTGAATCACAGACTGATGTTAATGATATTTTGTCCATAAAAAAGGTATTAAATATCTCTAAATAGTCTGTCAGCTTCCTTTCATAGCTTCTCCCCTGGTTGCGCTGCTTCCAGACATGTATTTTCATATAAAAGCATTTAACCAATCACATTTCAGACATCCTTTGTCGCTAGGCAGGGTCAAAGTCAAAGATGTCTGCCTGGAAGCCTTCACAATCCGTTCTGCAGGCCCCCCCCCC